TAAAAAAAAAAAAAAAAAAATGTCGCGTTTATACTCGACTTTATTGCTCATCACGCTCCTGATCCTTACAGTATCCTTATCTTCGGGCCGTGCTCTAGAAGACGAAGAAGAAGAAGACCTCTCAACCTACGAAAATGTCGAAAATTTTGAAACAGAAGAGAAACTATTGACTATTCAACCTTACCCCTATAAGGCTCCACCTCCTAAAGGCCATCATCATCATCATGGGCAAGGGCATAATGGTCATTCTAAACTTAAAGCTCACATTGCTCCACATCACCACCACCACCACCACCTCCCGGGACACGGCCATGGCCATGGACACCATAATGCTCATGCGCCACGCCATCATCATCATGCTCATGCTCCAAGAGGCTATTGATAAATCACATTATATGTGTGTAATATTTTCGGAACTAAAGGAATAATATATACATCAGTTTGTTTTATTGCTCTATATATCTTGCAATGTTATAGAATTGAGATAGTACTTGTTGACAAATGCTATTAAAAAAACACTAGTAGAAAAATCACATTCTAAGGAAGGTTTCTATATTGGTTGTACCAAGCCCGATATCAAGAGTTAGGCGATGGCATTTTTGTAATAAAAATCAATTATCTACATCTGGTGTAAAACAAGTTGGTAGTACCCGATATAAAAAATCAAGTTTTACTTCTATCTATATGGGGTGAAAAAGATCCGGATATAGAAAGTTCACTTTTAATATGCAACTAAACTACGGCACGCACAAGTATTGAATTAAATTGCATCTCAAGTCATAACTATTCATAAGTATTCAGAATATCCAGCAAATTGGTAATGCAGAACATATATATGAAAGAGTTGGTATATGCCTAACTAAACAACACAAAAAGCATAAATTAAAGACCCACAGCCAAGCCAACTCCATCTGAGACATCTTGTTTGTTTGTAGCCCTAAAACGGCGGCGGATTTGTGTATCTCGGCGATTTTGGGGGGACTGCACGCACAACAATAAGAAATAATAACAAGAAAGATTAGAGACAAGACTGCAATTCCGAACATTGATCAAAGACACAATCTTTTGGGAATAATTTTTTCATGCACGTTACGTACTGAAGTTTCTAGCCTGTCCATAAAGCCATCTTGCCAGTCTTCGATCAATCCAGTACCCGACTAAAATGGAAAAGGCTCCCCTTCACAAATCAAAGAAAACAGGTAATCAGGACTATACATGCTTCCATCCACACATCGATATGAATTGTGAAAATTGTAGTGATAACATGTTAAATCAACATATTATCGAGTCCAAGCACTTTGGTTATTGCATCATAATAACGAGTCTAAATCTAAGCATCCACAATGATCAATTAACTTGTAGAAAACTAGTCGTCATGTGAATAGAATATTATATAGAGAAAAACCAACGTCATTATATCCAAATCCTCTTTGCCCGAGAGAAATTCATGCAACAAGGGATCTCGTCTAATAAAAGCCACCCTCTTAGCAAGCGTTGTGCCGTCCAGCACATCATCTGCCTGCGCCAGCTCGTATACAGCCCGGCACATCATCTGCCTGCGCCAGCTCGTATACAGCCCCGACAAGATCGCAACCCTCAGCAAAAATTCTCGCGAAACGTAGGCCAACGTGTTCGTTTTTCAAAAGCTCGATGGCTTTTTCAGCATGCTTGTTTTCATCACATGGAAGGGCCTCCAGAAGTTCTTTTGCTGTTGGGATGAGTTCGGGATGTTCTTTTATGAGGAGCCCGACCATATCCAAGAGCTCCTTCTCCGCCTTATCCTGCACCACATACATACATACATACATACATACATACATACATACAAGGTCGACATTCAGTAGAATTACGATAAAATCCCACGTCACTACTAATAAACGATATGAACATACTATTTTAAGTATTATGGCGAGACGAGAATAGTTCACTTCATCTGTTCACTTCATCTGCCGTTCGGTCCTCATCATCATCATCATAATAGTCACTCAGAGGCCCATACATTCGCTCAGCCTCCACCTCCTCATCATAATAGTCATACTCATACTCATACAGCTTCGCTCTTTTTCCATCCTGAAAATTAATTCCACTTCTTTTGATTGAGTTCTCTATCAAAAATTCGAGTAAACCATCAGTCAAACTTCACAACACATAATACATACGTAACAACAAGTACAAGACTTGGCAAAGTTTTTGATTTTCGAGCAGCCAAAATTGGGAATTCCAATCCATCATCCACGAAAACAGACACAATACAAAAGGATTACACAATCAAACACACGCATACAACATTATTTATGTATAGCTTCAAGGAAGACTTAATTTCAACCCCAAATCCGACATCGACCGATTCATCGAGAGTTGATTCAACACCAGCAACTAATTGAATATACAATAAGAATAAAGTAACAGCACTCACACATCAGAGCGAACATTGTTACGAATAGACAAAGAAAAGACAGAGAATACCATTGCATCGCCATTCGGGTTCTCCATATTCTTTAGGTCTCACGAAACTTTGGGTTTCCTTCAAACAATCAATTGTATTTGTTGGACCCGATATAAAAAGTCGTTTTCACTCAATATAAAAAGTCGTTTTTCACTAGTGAAAAAAGTTTAATGGGTAATTTTACTGATTTTCTTTGATCATGTATGGCTAATATTCTTTCATTGATAGTGCTTGTTTATAGGGGTGTAAAAGAGCCGAGATCTTAACGAACCAGTAATCGAGTTCGAAGTCAGCTTATTTATGTATATTAACGACTAAACTCGAACTTTAACGAGTTGAACTTTAAAAAATTATATAAAAAATCCGTCTTTTGAAGCTTTATATATCGAGCTGAACCCCACTCACGAGAGGCCGTTCACATCCCTTGTAAAACTAAAATTAAGATTTATGCAGTGTTTAAAGATTTATGCAATGTTTATGAAAGAGAAATCATATATGCACCTTTCAAATTATGCAACAAAAGCCAAAAACAAGGAATGAAAAAAAACATTATTACCAATCTAAAAAATGTAATTCATCACCACAATATACCAATAAAAATAAAAAAACCAACTTCTGTTATAACTGCAAGCAAACAGAGGAACAACAAACACACATTCACACACACACACACNAATCCTAATTAGGCGGGCGAACGTAGCCCATGATCGTAAAATACGTCTGAGCCACCGTGAGCACGAGCAGCACAAACGCCGCCAATGCTGATATGAACGACCACGGCGTGTTAAAATACATGTACTTAAAACTCGCCCACTGAACGTGCCAATGGTTGTTGTAATAATCGTTAACCTCGTTAAACAAACCCGACAAATAGCACGCGTCGATGTAGAACGACACGTCCCTACCCAAATTGTTGACGAACGTCGCCACGTCAGCGTCCGTGCCCATATAGTTCTCGATTATGTTCCGGTCGCACAAATGCTCCACGTCCCGTGCCGTGTTCACCAAGCAATCCAAAAAAGTCGCGTAAGTGGTCACGTGCTTCGAGCAGTGCTTGTGGCACTGCTCGTAAGCCACACAGTTCAGTAGGAACGTGCACATGAAGTCGTCGATCGTGATCGTGGGCATCTCGATTACGCCGCCGCGCTTGAATTTTACGGCAAGGAAGCTATCGTGTTTCGGGCCGGGCCGGAGCTTAATCCCGGCCCGAACAAGCTTGGAGATGCAGGGGATGACATGGGTGTTCGTGTAGCGGCTATGCTCGGGCTCGTCGTAGCCTTCGGGTATGAGGCTTAACCGAAGGAAATCGAGAAGGTGTTTCCCGGTGAGGTTTCGGGACCTGAAAGTAAGTAGTCGTTTACCACAAATTCTTGCGTGAATCGGTCTAACTGTTAATCAGATTTGTGTCGTAATTCTGTTTATATTGTTATTTGTAAATGTATGACATTTTCTTATCAAATATTGCATGTTTGTGTAATGAGTATATAGATTCATATTTTTAATAAACTTGTACAATTTAAATTAACATATGACGACTTAATATAAAAAAAAAAAAATAGAAAACAAATATGAATATAATTTTTAGTCCTCACACACCTAACTCAAACTGGTTCATCCTAATAGAAGTGTTCATTTTGGTTGTCCTCTCTTGCCTAATGCTATGGTCGTGACATAAATGGAACAAGACTTTTCAACATTTTTCAACCGAAGAATGACAATTATACCCTCATGGACCTTTCTCTTTCAGTCCTGATCATACAAATGAAATAAAAATTGCATAATAAAATATATTCAAAGTCATTTTCCACCCATCAAAAAATACACTATTCATCTATCTCAATTTTTTTTTTCTTTCTATTTTCACCATTATCATTTACAATATAATTTTTAAATTATATATTACTCATTAGCACTTATTTATTTATATAGTTTAATATCCATTCATCCACATATTCATAACTATCTATTATTATTTTATTTATCATTTTGTTATTTCCTTGTCATGCACGTTGTAATTACTTACTATTATTATCATTATCATTTTGATCACTACATTAGTTACATAACTAACACCACTTTTTTACATCAGAAAATATCATTTTTCAAAACAAAAAGAATAAATTAATTAATGAAAACATATCCAATCATACTAAAACTTCATAATCACCGAAGAAAATGAAACCTTCTATTAACGACCAAAAAACACAAAAAAAAAAAGGAAAAAATGATTAATTACCTCTCAACAAACTCATCAGGCCTCTGCAGGGCATTATTGAAGAACCTGAGCACGAGCTCTGGCAGGCCCGGATCCGACCCGACCCCCTTCTCCCGGGTCGCCTCCACCAAACACTCGAGCACGAAAAACGGGATCTGATTCTCGAGCCGCACCAAATCCCTCAGGAAAAACGGGTAAACCCACGAAAGCGACGTTAACGGGTCGCCCGCATCCGACCCGACAAAACCCCCAAAAATCCTCAACAGCTCAACCACGAAGCACCCATCAACCACTAGCATCTCCACAAACTCATCTGCTGACACGTGGACAGCGGCCGAGTAGCAGTCCCGGGCCTGGGCCTCCAGCGGCTGAACGGCCCGAAGAAGGTCCTCGAGCCCGACACGGGCCCGGTCCAGCAGGGCCCCGAGGAGCCGCCACTTGTGCTCTTGGATCATGCGGAGGCCCGGGTCTCCGTGGTGGTAGGGCCCGACGGAGACGATTTGGGGCCGGTAGGCCCGGCCGTCGTTGGCCGCGGCGAGGGTGGTGGGGACGGTGAAGATGGAGCACGAGCTCCGGCCGGCGGATCGGGTCAGGATGCGGGGCGGGTCGGAGATCCGGTGCTGCATTAGGGTTAGACGGTCTGGGTCGGGATGCCAGGTGGGCGGGTCGTCGGGTTGGTTTTGGGGGATTGGGAGTTCGACCATTTTTTTAATTGTTTTTCTTTTTTCTTTTTCCTTTTTTTTTTAAGTCGGAAAGGTGGAAAATTTTTCTCCACCGACGGAATGAAGATGAGACGAGAGGTGTTTATGTGGGGAGAATGGAAGAGGTTTAGAGGAGATATTTTCTTTTTTTAATTTTTGTCTTTTTGTATTTTAGTATTTAATCCAATGTTTTCTAACTTGGGTGGTCTTGGGATTATCAGTTTAATTGTCGAGTCATTAGGTTAATTGATGCATTGAATAATTATTTTAAATAGACATGTATTATAATTATATTATTTTTAACTTTATAAGTAAAAAGTGTGTGTATGTATTAATGACAGGTTAAAATTGGGTTAACTAACCGAAAAAAAAATAAAAATTGGGTTAACTCAGTTTGGCCAATGTCTAGAATAGATCAACCAGAGGAGATATTAATGAATACATTGTTTTTATCGGTTTGATTGGGTCCATTTATTGTTTATTGATATCCAAGTCCAGAGGAGATATTTTTTTTTTTTTTTCTGTTTATTCTTTTTAGTATTTAAATTTTAAGTTATAAGTATATAGTTTGATTCAATTTAAGTTGAATGTTGATTGGTTGAAAAAGAGATATTGATATGTCGCATTCAGAGGACAAGTTTGACGGCAACTGGTAATAACTAATAACTACTTAGGCTGCTGCGTGGAAGTACGATCATCTAGATTTGCTTAAGATATTGAAAGGAGAGAAGTTTTTTCTTATTCAAATTAAATCACATTATTAAAACTGCAAGAGAGGGGTATTTTTAATTTACATTTCTCATAGTTTTAAAATTTTACATTATTATTTGTAATTAAAATGAGACTTTTCATTCGTATAATTTGTCATTCGTATGATTTATAGATAAATCTTTTAATTGAAATATAATTTTATTAATTTTTAATTAGATTTAAATATTAATAAATTATTTAATTTTATAATAAAAAAATAAATAAAATTTATTTCTTTTATATATACATATATATATGTATATATCAACACGAAGCTCGTAAAAAATGATTAATTTGTATTATATATGAAAAAATATTAATAAATATCAGAATTATTAATTTTTAAATATAATTATAATTTAAGTTAGTCAAGTGTTTTTATGATTTTAAAGTCAAATAGGTGTGGGTCGAATCTACATCTATATGGATTGTCATAAATTGACACATAGATTCCGAAGCACTAAAATTCGACACATAAGATTACGAAGCACTAGAAGTCGACACGTACGTAGAGGAGACATTCTGCTTTTAATATATAGGAGTTGATATTTATAATATGAAATATCATACTTATTTACATTGTTTTGAATATTTATATGAGTTGAAAAAATATATAATTATCAAACCGTTATCTCAGCATAACATTAGCATTATTTGTAAAATTTAGCTTAGTATTAGCTCTTCTAGTTTCAACTAGTTTTATTGATGTGTTGAAACTTGAGCAGGAAGGTCGAACACGCCAAATAATATTTTAATGGTCCATCAAGTCGAAGCATGAGCCTTCCCTCTCAATAAAACGGACCTGTCTAGTCCACTGGACCACACTAAAAACTATGGGCTCTAACATGGATAATAAGAGTGGGCCTATTAATCAACCACAGGCTTGTAAAGTCAGAAGCAAAGAGTTTTGAAGTATATTATTAGATGGGCCTTAACTGTGTAGCTATTGTTTACTTGTTGGCTCACCTGCTCCAAATGCAGTCTTAAAAAATAATCTACAGTTAAATGTCATTGTGAAATGTTTGTCATGTATAAAGAAAATTATGAATTTTCACTGGTGTATGAAAAACTATATACATATAAGATAATAATTAACTAAAAAATAAACAGATAATAAATTTTTAATAGAATATGTTCAAATGTTCATGTAATTATTTTTTTAAGTTGTCTTGATCAAGATCAATTTTTTAAGAGTGTCGGTTAACTAATTTGGGATATTCTGGATTCATCTAATCACGGGGATAAGTGTATCAGTTTATAATGATGGCAGAAAACAGATGACTGATTAATACGGTTCAGTACTTACTATGAGTATTTAAATAGTTGAATTAGGTTCAGTACTTAATAAGAGCACTTAATTATTTAAAGTGGGTTTAGTACTTAGCATGACAATTTAATTATTTAAATTAGGTGAAACAAATCCATGTCTAGGCCCCTTATCAGCTTGTGAAAAGTTGAGACCAAAATTTCCCAACAAATTCATTTTTGTAACATATTCTTGTGTGAGACGAATTAGACTGTCTAACTCATCATACTTTTTAATAATAATATATACTAATACTATAGAATGTCGTATTTTTATTAATATTATTTATAATGTATTTATTTCAAAAGAAAATATCAATATACAACCTTAGTGAATTCCCATATTACAACGTTACTCAAACAAACTCTTCTAATAACTCCTCCACAAGCTGCCCAAAAATCTCTAGCTCCACTTGTTGTGTAATCTCTTCAATCTCTTCATGCAACTTTTGCCCTCCATCAAAATCTACTTCTTTGAACAAATCCAATCCAATGCATATTCTCCCCCATTTCACTTCATTTTTCACCATGCAAATTATTTTGCTTTTGTTTTCGACTATTAGGTCGGAAGATATCCGGTTCTTGCAAGTCGACATTTTCCTTGGATTATGTCCGTGGCTCGACAAGCGAAATGCCTCGTTTAAAAACCGGTCCATGCACTGTTTTTTGGACATGGATAACAGCTCGTGTTCCTCCTCCTCATCCAAAGATAACACAGTTTCCCTATCGAGCTCGTCATCTGAATTTTCGAGAAAGCTTCTCTCCAGTTCGATTGGATCCAGTTCGGCTAGCTTCTCGAACCTCCGGAGCCGGTCGAGAAGCTGTTGTTTGGCTCCTACACATGATTCATAAATAAATAATTTGATTAATAGATAAGATGAAGATGAAATTCAGTAAATTATACATTGAAATTGTTAAAAATAGCAATATTTCAAGAAAGTGGAAATAACGTTAGGCTGTCTAATCGTTACACAGTCATACACAAATAATAGTGTTAATAAGATGTTTAACCGTTAGACAGTCATATGAAATGCAAACCAACATTTGAAAAGACAAGTGGACTTATGGAAAGTCCTTGTTTTTTCACCATGATGATACACAAATCCTTAAACAAAAGATTTGTAAGAAAAGGATTATATATGTAACCCCACATGATAAAGCTTGTGTTTATATATGAGCTTTAATTATTTAGTTCATATGATGAACATCATAAGATTAGTGATGCCCCCACATTATAATAGAAGGTGATAGGCATCCATATTGTAATTTAATAACCAATAATTGTTTTTAGATATAATGGGACAAAAGAGAAAAACACCTTCCACCAAATTGTGGACCGTACAAAAATTTATTGGATTTTTTTAGTATTATTTTTATGAAGAAAAACAAATTTGGTCACACCTAATTTAACTCAAGTTTAACTCATGAAAATCAGCAAATTTAACTTGAAAGGCCTAATCAAGTGCACAAAATCCAACTTATAATTGTATTTGACCTAATTAATTTGCTTGAACAAATATAATGTGAAATTGGGGAAGAAAATAAGTGAAATTATCTCACATACTTTCCATATTTGCATAGGTGCATTCGGGATCATAATCGTGGCCCTCATCTTCTTCTTCTTCTTCTTCGACTATTGCATTGGTGCTTTCATTTGTTTCGTCTTCGAAGAAAATATCCAAAACCGAAACCGGGCTACATTGTTCCTTCTCGTCATCTCCATTCACGTTATTTGAATTTTCTCCCGTTTCGTAATTTTCGTCGTCCTATAAATAATGTAAATATATCATATGGTACATATTACAAGCCATTTCAATTTTTCACATGTGCATTAGGACCATAGGGCAATAATTGTACTCTATAAATAAAGAAGTTTTTACAAATTTGAAATCGAAAATTGCAAAATATACTTAGCAATTTGCACAAATGTCCACTAGCTAATAGAAAATAGAACACAACGTGTGCCCCCCCTCCCCAAAGAAAAAAAAAAATCAAGCAAAAACTATCCAATAACCAATTGCAAAAGACTACAAAAAAAATAACTACTAACTCACATATTGGGCATAATATTAGTAATTTGATTAGTTAGTGAGCATTTTATAAATTTGAAAAGGTTTGTGGACAAAATTGTCATATGTCCCAATTCACTTGATTAATTTTCAAATTTTTTTTTCCATTTTGAAATTTAAATCTTTTTTTTTTTTCAAATTATGTCAATTTTTGTACCTTGATGATAATGCTTACAGAATTGTACCATGCAAAGTGTAAGGCTTTATATGACTGACTAGTGTTTGACATGTCCACTTTATTTTCCACACTTAGGTTAAAATCAGAAAAAAAAAATAATAATAATAATAACTTTGCTACTAAAATGTGGGAAATTAATTACCCACTAGTTTTTGTCCCGTGCATTTGCACGGAAAACTATATGATAATGAAAAAATAATAAAAATTATAAACAATAGTAAAAATCATAACAAATTTATTGAAAAAAATTAAGAAAAAGAATATAAATATTCTTAAACACTTCTTTATAAAACAACGTCGTGGTTTTTCTATCGTCAAAATCTCCCTCAGCTCAAATCAAAATATTCAAACCCCACTGACTCGTAACTCTAAAAAGCGCCACGTATAATTGCTCATGACTAAATGCAGAGCTCTTCAGTAGTAAGCCGACGTGCGACAGAGACTGTCTTCGACTCTTATTGATCATGTCATAGAATAGGAAACACTTCTTTATATTGTTTGTCCATGACTCTTATTGATTGATAGAGATTGTCCTCACTTCTTAATAAAAAAAATACCATCTAAATATAAATGAGTAAATATAATATTAATTTTTAATATAAACAAAAAATTTAAAGTAATTGATAATGAGTATAGAATTACCCTTGCGGATTCAAGTTATTTCAACGATGTTCTTTTGATATGTCTAAGATTTAATTTTTTTTCTGATTTATATGAATATAAACACATTTGACTAATTTTTATAAAATTTATTGAAAAAAGTTACTATTTTTTTGAAAAATTGATAAGATATTAAGATAATACTGTACTTAACATAAATGTGGAATTAATTAAAATAAATCTTTTTAATTTAGTCATTAACTAATTAAATTTAACTATAAAAAACCTTCTTAAATGTGAGATTAATGATGAATTAATTAAAAAAAATGTAACTCCTTTTGGAGGGAAAGTGAAAATATTTTTATTAAATGTTTTATTAAATGAGATTAGCTAGCAATTATATATATATAGATTAGAATCCAAGGAGGAAAATAACAAAGTCCAATTTTTGTCCCTCTTGTGGAAAAATTATATAGGGTTAGGTTAACAACACTAATTAAAATTAAAAACAGTTTTTCGTAGTTAATTACACAAATTTAAGGAATATAAATTAAAAAAATATATCAAAGGTATAATCTAGATTTAGGATGCACGTATACCGACAGCTTAATCAAGTCAAACATAATACATAAATTTCACCCGAGCCCATATTTACTCTACTATTAAATTTGATTACACATTTATTAAAAATTTATAATTTTTGAATTATTTATAATATTTGGGCAAATTGCAACCTCAAAATGCATTGCCATCCAAGAAAAAGTAACGACTCATAAATTTGAATTTTAAAAATTATATATATATAAAAAAAAAAACAATGCTCCAAATTTAGAAAACTAATGTATTTCCAAATAAGACTGATATTAGAGNAAATCAACATAATGACTCGCCTACGGAATGTCCACATAAAACAATAATGAAAATTTGGGTAAGAGAGAAAAAAGCTTAAGCTTTTTGACAATTGAAACATAGGAGTCCTAAAGTAGATATAACTTTTGAGATCACATCGCATAACTTCTTTTTTCACATTTCATAGTATAATTACACATTTTCATTTAAATTAAATTATGATAATTTATATTTACAATTATAAATAAAACAATGATATTTGGCTATGCTCAAAACAAAATTGCAAATCAAAACAACCGAAATTACTGCGACTAACCTGCTTTACGCCGCGGCCAGGGGAGGCCGCCTCCGGCGAGCCGAGCGCCGGCGTTCGGCGGCCGGAGGACGACGGGCTCTCGGGTACTGAGAATCTAAAAGGGCTCAGGGGACACGGGCTGAATCGAGTTTCCGGCGACCCAAAATCGTCACTGATATTCTTATCAATTTTAATTCCTTTCACTTTTTCATTTTCGCCGGAATTATTAAAATCGTGTTCCCCATTAGCACGATTTTTTCCTTTGCTCCGGTCCTTCAGCATTTTCAGAACCGACCCGAATAAACCCGACCCGGAGGAAGTAATCCGGACCTTGCTCTGAGGCCACATCGATTTCCGCGGCTTCTGGATCCTCGCGGCGGCCTCCGCCAGGAGCTCAGCCGTTCCCGGCGGAACGCGGAGGAGGGCCGCCGCGCCGGCGGCAGGCGGCCGGAAATTTCGGAGCGGTGATTTTCCGCTTTTTGATGGGATTTGGACGGATTTTGGGATTTTGGCTGGGGAGAGCGCCGGCGCCGGCGCCGGTGAGGGCCTTTTGAGGAGCGATCGGCGGTCGGAGATGAAGGTCTTCAGGTGGAAAGGCTCCTGGTCTTCTCTGAGCAGCTCGTGCAGCAATTGTTTATGAGCCATTTTTTTAAGAGAGAAATATGTTTTTTCTTTTTTATTTTTATTTTAATTGGGTTAATGGAAATGAGGACTTTATAAGAATAATGTATGGAGCGCGGAATAAAAAAAGTTTGGTGACGATGGGTTTTGTAAAGGGACTTGAGAGAGAAAATAAAGGTGATAAAAAATGAGAATAGGTTTCTATATAGTAATGGGCCTAATGGCTATAACTTTCATTCCCATGCTTTAACGAAAACACAATTGAAAATTCGAAGACATAAATGAGTCGGAGTTTAAACAGCTAAACAAACTTCATTATGAAAAACATTTTTTGTGTATTTTTTTTATATGTATAGATGCACACATAAAAAAATACATTTTACATTTTTGTGGGTTATAACTGCAAAATAATTGGGTCAAACTTATTTGTAAACGAATATTACTTATTCACGAATAACTGGTTTAGGATTAAAATTTTATTAAACGAGTCGGGTTTTCACTAGTGCAAATAATCGAGCTCAAAAGGAGCCTTTTGTTCATTTATTAAACATATTGAGTCAAGCTAAGTCGAACATACTCATTTTTTATATACACACGTACGATTTCGAATATGAATTACTCGATTCGGCTCGACTCAAATAACATCCATAATAATGGATGTTGCAGAGTGGAGAGCATAATAGTTTATTTTTTATTTTGCTTTGAAACGTATATTTGTCACGGAGTGCGCTAATTGTAGTACGAACTAAAATAAAAATTATACAATGCGGAAGGAATCAACCGAAGATTAATAAACTCTTCAGGGAAGCATCCCACTTCCCTTCAGAGCTCTTTCATTGATAGATCACTCATGAACATAGTTTGGACTTACAAAGACTTGAACTCCCTTCAAATCTAGCCAACACTACTCGATCCTATCAACTAATTCTCCGGCCACGTCCCGTGGACTTATAAAACCTACACTTACTCCCTAAGTGTATGAACCGTAAAATAGTTTTGATGAAATGTTTAAACAACTAAACAAAAGCAGTATCAGTCCTTGGGTTTGTAAGAACTTATAGACTGAACTGAATACAGCTAAAATGGAACAGAAAGAAACGAAGCTTGAATTGCTCTAAAAATATCTCTCTAAAAATCACCGCACGCCAGAAGCTTCTTCCAGGGTATTTATATGAACTCCTTAGGGTTGGAGTCTTCTACAAGGCATAGGTCTTCAAACAAGATTTCCTTCCAAAAGAATAGCATATCTTTGGCAAGAAAATCTTCTATTCTCTCTCTTTGATTTCCTCACCACGCACGGCTCTTCTCTTCCTCTTCTTTATCTCTTCACGTCCGATCTCCTATATTATCCAAAGTCATAATAAGATCTACACAGACTTATACATGGAATATAAAATAAGATTAATTAAGGAAATAAAATATGTAAAGATCTCCCATTTATTCTGTGGTTCCAGGTGCTTGTTTGAACTAACGAACTAATGCCAAAATAAAATATCTTTCATGCTTATTTTAGTTAATGAAGCATTTCTATAAATTTTAAATTAATATTACTATTAGAATTTAGACGTGATTTTTTTTTTTTTATATTGCATTTGGTAAGTTTGACGTGACTAGTCAAATTAGACATTTTTTTGGCTGGTTCAATTATACAATTTTAGACATTTTTTGTGCTATATCACTCTAAATCATCATGTTTATAAATTATCTTCCTGTAATGTTAGATTAAATTCATTGACAATTTTCTCACCACACATGCATCAAAATCATAAACGTGGTTTTCACTTTTACAGGTCTTATAATCACAAAAATTGCGTCCAATGATGAAAAGTGACTCTTGTCGTTAGAATAAAGCATGCAATCCCTACAAATATTCCGTAATTTTAAAAAAATAATAATAATAAGAAATATAAATCTTGAAACATGAGTAAACTTTTTCACATTTCATTTTCTGTGCAAAAATCAATGAATTTCACCATATCGTGCCAGAAAATGAAAACGATGGGCATGGGAAGGTCAACGAAAAGTCAAGAATACGGTTAAAACATTTATTATTAACACTAAATTGGTATAAACAAAAATCATAATTTTCTCTGTATCGAACGTGCAAATTGTGGTTGTGAACTTCTCGTTTACGAATTACGATTTTGAGGTTCAAATGAACAACCAATAAGCCTAGCATGTTAGAGAACTTGCAAATTATATTTACAAATAACCCATTTACGATTTTAAGTTTGTTAGCAAGTCGAAGTGAGCTTTCACAAACTTAAACGAGTCAAGGTTTAGTCAACTCTTTGACAAATTTATTGTACGAATCAAGTCAAATCAAACTGAGCCGAGCCAACTCTTTTATCAAAACCAACACGAAGTACTCGATTCGACTCAATTCGAATAACATCTCCACCATAATTTCCCAATTTTAAAAAAAAAGGTATTATATAAAAATAAAAAGAATAAAAAAAATCACCCATTTTAAATGAACCTTTTTAGTGAGAAGACTTTTGAAGTAGGCCACATACTACTGACATAGCGCTCCAGATGTGCATGCATGCGTGAAAAGGTCCGCTCCATATATATATTACGGGTCGCCTCACCTTTTTTTCACTATTCACGCAAATTCAAGTTCTTCAGTTACTGAATTTATTCAAATTATTTTAAAAATAATAGTATAAAATAAATAAACAATTTATTCTGATTTTATTTTCCAACTATCACCGGTACTTTGTGATTTCTTTAATCCCACGTAAAAAATGTGAAGCCAGAGACTTTCACCAACCATTTATCTATTTTCCAATTCAAATATCATAGAAGTTCAATTTTTTTTTTAAATAATTTTTTTTAACTGAAAAACTAGCTGATATAATAAAAGTGATTGATAAAATTAACTTACAAGTCAGACAAAATAAAACTTTCGATGGATTTTTTGAAAATCTGCCAAAAAAGTTTATGACATAAGTTCAAAACTATTTTAAAAAAATCATAATGTATTTCAATAAATATGAGCTTATAATAAACTGATTAAATAAAATATAAACCAATTTATGATGTGATGGTTATTATGTCAATTGTATTGGTGTAATTTAAAAAATGTGGTCCGCTTTGCAATTGGTAAATTGTACGAAATTAACGAATATGTTATATATTTTCAAAAAAATTCTTGAACTCTGTCCACGATGAAAATCTTAGAGCTAAGGGAAAAAATCAGCATAGGGGGGCTGCCTAGCACTAGTTGTTCCTTAATTATTTGAAAACTAGTATAGGTCCTATAGATTGTATTGCATATAACATAGATTTGTTTTCCACTCATTAAGATTAAGTAGAAAAGCCAAATTCCAATCATTCAAATAAGTTAGTATTTTATGAATTAATTAACTAATTAATTTTAAATAATGCACAATATTGCTCACATACCCTTATGTGTAGCATGTACAGAAAAAATATATATAATTGTAGATTACTGTTTTTTTTTTTTAATAAGGAGGTCTGTTCAGGTCGATTCTCAGACCAAATTTAAAAGCTGTGTTTCTAATACCAAAATGTGCAATAGTTTTTGTCACAAAATAATTTTAATTTGAACTCATAATTATAAAATATAACATTGTACAATAGTGTTAATTTTAATATGGGGTGATTAATTTTACAAAATATTTTATACATTTTGGGGTTAAAATAACAATTATAGATTCTCTAGATCATGATTAATGGATTATTGTGGTTAATCCCCATATATGTACTCATTTGAAACAATGGTTCCCATTTGGAATTAGAAGAGCTCAATTTAAGTATGATTAATATGCGCATGGTTGCACTACTCTATCTAATTATAATTATTAGAAACCCTAATATAATCACAAGATCCCAACTAGTTAATAAATTGGATCCTCTAACCTCATATGTGATTAAATTCATGTCAGGCCAAATTGTAAGAACTTGATGATTACCAAATAACACTTGCTTACAAGTAAAACAAAACTCAACTCTTAGGTTAGTTCTAGACAGCTTACCATGTACTTCTGGTTTTCAGTCAACTTGTACTTAATTAAAGGCTGTTTTAAGTACCAGAATTTTGTCCTCAATGCACAGGATCTTTATTTGTCTTCTATGGAATCCTATGCTTATTGATCATTGTAATTCTGG